TAGGGAACTCAAAAAACTAAACTCACCCAAAATTAATGAACCAATAAAGAAATGGGCAAGTGAACTAAACAGAAATTTCTCAAAAGAAGAAATTCAAATGGCCAAAAAAACACATGAAAAAATACTAACCATCTCTACCCATAAAGGAAATGCAAATCAAAACCACACTAAGATTCCACCTCACCAGTGTTAGGTTAGAATAGCCATCATTAGCAACACCACCAATAACAGGTGTTGGTGAGAATGTGTGGAAAAAGGAACCCTCTTACACTGCTGGTGGGAATATAAACTAGTACAACCACTCTGGAAAAAAATTTGGAAGCTTCTTAAAAATCTAAACATAGATCTGCTATATGATCCAGCAATACCATTCTTGGCAATATACCCAAAGGAATGCAACACAGGTTACTCCAGAGACACCTGCACACCCATGTTTATTGTAGCACTATTCACAATAACCAAGTTATGGGAACAACAAACATGCCCCACTATCGATAAATGGATTAAGAAAATGTGATATTTATATACAATGGAATACTACTCAGTCATGAAGAAGAATGAAATTTTATCATTTGCAGGTAAATGGATGGAACTGGAGAACATCATCCTGAGAGAGGATAGCTAGGCCCAGAAGACCAAAAATCAAATGTTCTCCCTCTTATGTGGACTATAGATCAAGAGCAAACACAACAAGGGCATTGGATTTTGATCACATGATTAGGTGAGAGCACACAAAGAGGTATGAGGATAGGCAAGAAACATCCCTCCCAAAAAAACAAGATAGCATTTGATGTCCTCAATGCAAAGGAACTAATGCAGAAACTTTAAAGTGACAGAGGCCAACAGGAGAAGGGGACCAGGAACTAGAGGAAAGGTTAGTTGGAGAAGAATTAATTTAGAATGTAACATGTATGTACAGGAAAGAAATGTGAGTAAACTCCCTGTATAGCTATCCTTATCTCAACTAGCAAAACCCCTTGGTCCTTCCTATTATTGCTTATACTCTCTCTTCAACAAAATTTGAGATAAGGGCAAAATTGTTTCAGCCTGGTAACAAGGGAGGGGGAGGAGTTGGAGGAAAGGCAGGGAGCAGAGGAAAGGGGGGGACAAATGACCCAAACATTGTATGCACATATGAATAAAAGAAATTTTAAAAAATTGAATGAATCCTACTATGTTCCTTTAGAAAGATTAAAGACAGATCTGCTATATCTGTAAATCAGTTAACATCTCATGCACTGAGAGTAGTTTAACAACCAGATATTGAAATGACATAATAACATTCTATTTAATACTTAACACATTTGCCGTACGATTGATTACTAGTCCGTGGTAACCAAAGATTCTTTAGGACCTGATCTAGTGTATAAAAAAATCAATTGTGGCTAGGGATAAAGCTCAGTGTTAGACACTTGTCCTACTAGGTTCAGCTCTAAACCTGCAGAAACAATGAAGCATGCATGAAGGGTTTCCAACAGAACACTAGCGGCTTTTGTCCTACACTTTGCTGAATGCATTTTTTAATTCCCCTCTTGAGTAATTTTACATCAAGTATATAATTCCAATTGTAGAAAAGCAGGAGGAAAAATGTCATGATTTTGTCATCCTCTTGAGTAAGAACAATGTTTTCTTTCCTATATAATACAGTATTAAATCTATGATAGTTTTATTCAAAAGTGGACAACAAAACTTCCAACTGCATTACTATGAAAAATAAAAATTTGCTCTTAATCCCAATGTCTCTGCTTTACTATATTATGAACACCTACAATGACATAAAGAAAAATCCTACAGTATTTCCTCATAAAAATATTATGTTTATCCTGACAACAAAGGCAATTTGGTCTTCCCAGATTGGTGGTCTACCGATAATTCTTATGTACTGCAGTCTCATGTTGTACCTGACAAGATTTCAACCCGGAATTCTGTACTTTTCACATTAGGACTTTTGTTTTTACTTTTAGTTTGCTATATTCAATCCTGCCCTCTTGCATTTGTCCACATGTACATACTTATTAAATTTTTACTGGCTCTTCCTGCTCACATTAATTAGTCCCTATAAAAATCTTAGAAAATGTTAGAAATTTTGAATTAAAGATTACTGATAATTTAAGAAGAGTCTGAGGTTTTGAAAATTTAAATGAATTCTAAATTCTACATAGTGAATGGCACAATCAGGATTAAATTTTGTAAAATGCATGCTTATGTGCATGCATATGTGCAATATATTGAGTTTGGCTATAAACTATTTTGTTTTTTCTAAAACTGTATCTTTTTCATTGAAGTTCATGGTATAGATTTTATTTCAAAGATTATATAGTCTTCAGTCTTTGCAAAATTTAAGGACATACTGTGAAAATCTCTTTGCATTAGAACCTGTTTCTTCCCCTTCGTGTGCAGGGTGAATGTGGCAGGCATTCATCTCACAGTTCATAATGTCACCAATGCAGAAGCTTGGATGGAAAGGTTGGATTTACCTAGGACAATGACAAGCAGTGTGGTTGTAGACTGCCTGTGTGGTTCTCAAGAAGTTAGATCTTCATTAGAATTGACCACATTCAGGATTAAGGACCTGACCAGGCTCTGTGTTTGGAAATGAATGATGATGTAAAAAGAGGGGAGCAGACCAGGCGATAGTAGATAAATTCTTACTAGCTTAACACATCTAAGAAATGCATGGAAGCCACTTTTTTTCTAGTGAAATACATATGTGATAAAGGCATATGCAAGACAAAACCTGGTGACAAAACATAAAAGCATTTTGTTCTACTTTTTTACAAAAATAGTACAATAGTGTAATATGTATGTGCATATTATCTTACATACAAAATATAAATGTAAAAAGATTTTGGGTCCAATTTTCCTCATTACACAAAAATAATCTGATTATTATGAGTTTTCCATTTGTATCTCATGATCTGCTTGTCGAGGCTAAATAGGTACAAAAAACTAGTATCTTAATTTGTTCATAGGTGAAAACTCAATCATTTTTCCCATTGAAATGGAAAACTTCTTTAACAATGTAATTAACATGCTATGCATACATTTTAGTAACTGTTTATGACAGATTATAGAATGTATTAAAATAAGCAAAATAGTGCACAAAGATTTAAAATATATATTATCAAGTGTGCATCAAAAAATGTCAGGGTAGCAATGGTACTCAATTTAAAAGTTAATCAATGCACACTCACACTAAATATTTGGAAGAGGGCATTTGTGTTTTCAATTCAGATTAAAAGCTTATGGTAGAGCCTTAACAGTGTTAATATTATGAGTGTCTCCTTTTATATGTGACTATTTTTCCATGTCATGAAACTATAAGGATGAAACCATTTCTATAAGGTCCTGTGACCTGAATGTGTCCTTTATAAACTGATTTAGAAAAAGAATCCTAAGACAATTTCGAGTCCTTCGACACAAACTGTTGCTCATTGAACTTGAAATGTCCTGATGGTTCTTATTAACCATACTGTGAAAAGTGATGTTAAATGAGGGATACGGAAGGGTCCCATGACTAACCTAAGGAGAAATAACAGGGGAAAAAAGAAATTGGCAAGTGAGCTGGATGGGGCAAAACAAGCATGACCTGTAGAACCAGAAAAGAGGAGATCAAAAGAAGAGGAAATAATAGACTTCCGATCAGTGAGTCTGTGTTTAAAAAGTACATTGACCAAACACAAAATGAAGTAGACAATGATTCTAGCAATTTCACAGGATAAATGTGTTTCTGGTTTGAAAGATATAAAAACATTTTTTGTGTTGTCAGGTTCTTTGTATGATTTCATTTCTGGTTTATTCTAAACTCTTTTCCTGGCGTTGTCACTGAGTCGGTACTCAGACCATTAGAATAACATCCAGTATTTATGTGCCAAGAACAAAGAAAATTAAATATGTTATCTATGGACAATGTCAGTGTTTAAAATCATTTTAATTTTTTTCTCAGAATTTGGTCAGACCTCATCATTAAGCATAAGTTAGAGTGGATCGCAGAGAAAAGTGAGTTGTTTTGAGTACAGAAGAGTATGATGAGGCTGGTAATGGGTAAATAGAAAATTATAGATGTCAGAAAGGTCATGTCAACTTAAGAAAGAAGGTAATGAATTCAAGAAAGGAAGGTATGTGCAATTGCTTTAACTGGGGTGGGAAGGAGAAAAAAAGAAAGGAAGGGAGGTGATGAAAGAGAAGCAGTGTTGTAGCATTAAAGGAACAGGACAGAAACAATGAAGCAAACTGAAAAGAACATCAGGAGACAGTTACATCTCTATTTTCCCTTGTTCCTAATGGCTAATGAGCAATGGTCAATGATGCTGCAATTGTCATAGAATTCTACCTTCCTGAAAGGAATGACTTCTTTCCTTTTTTTCTTTTTTTTTTTTTCTCACTTTAAACATTTAGCCTGGATTATGTGCAAGAAGTTCAGCTTGATACAAATAAATTTAAGCTTTACGATGCATTTTATTTCTTATAAGAACACACTGATCTTAATTAAGATGAACTAGTCACCAAAGTATTTTAGTAAACTTTATAGCATATTACAATTGCATCTTGCTTCGCATGATATAATACATTATTTTAAATTAAATTTCAAGGAAAGGTCTCTTTTAGACACATACATATAGAATTAAGTTACATCTAGTTGATTACTAGTAATCAATAACACATGGGTGTTTTGTTTTGCTTGTTTCTATATTTAGGCCAGGATTTCTCTGTGGAGCCACACTGGCCTCAAACTCACTATACTCCAGCCTCATCCTACAGAGTGTTCGTTTTACAGGTGTATCCCCAAATGCCCAAACGACATCATATTTTGATGGTTATAACAAATTTTGAATTGCATTAAACACTTAATTCCATATATTATCCACGTATTGCAAACAGTTTCCTCCTGAGTATCAAAATTAGCCATATATTTTAAAACAATGGTTGGTGATGTGGAAAGTTGCTGTAGAAGTAAATATCAATTTCAGCCTTTGGATTGTTCATGTAAAAGGTCTTACCTTGCCTACATATTGTGTGTCTGTACCTGTGTATTCTTCCAACAAAAAGAACTGATTCCACATCCAGCCACGCTTGGTGCGATGGAGCAGTTTACCATCATCTTTTGTCAGACTCACTCTCCTTTTGCTTGGTAAGTGACTGTTAGACTTTTCTTGTAATGGGATAGCATCAACTGTATGAAACACACAGGTCCAGATGAACAATGGTAGACCATAGTAAGTCCTCATTATTTTCAGAAAGATTTCAAATTCAATGTACTTTCTGCTTCTCCTGATGAGAAGAAAGAGAAAAATGGTTTTACTAGGCTGTGCTTCATTTTCTCATAACCAGTAAACTTAAAACCCTTTCCTTAGTGTTATTTAGGTATTATACATAATATATATAATTTTTTCTATATTATACCAGTTAACCATCATTAAAAACTCATATACCATGTATATACACAAGACATATGAAAAATAACAAGTAAATTAATTTGTTGGCCTAATGTAAGTTGACTATATTAGTTATAAAATATGAATGTTTTTATAATTTAAGCCACAAAATTCTGGAAGAAACCCAAGCTTCATCATACATCAGTTATTGTAGTGAATGTTCCACAGTTCATGTGACTAATAAGTGTGAAGTATTTAAGAATAGATACATCTTAGTATGGAACCATATGCTTTAATGAACAGTCCTCTTCCCACAAGCTACCATTTTTAAAAAGATGCTTCTCCTCTTCTTCTGTCTCCTATTTTTTGTTCTTTAGAAATTATCCAAAGAAAATAATGGGATTAAAGAAATAAGTAGGTGTTTACTGATCTTGAAAACTAGAATCAATCAGCTAAAAGTGAATGAGTTCAGTGTAAAACCTTAACTGTGAAAATTCCAGGAAAAAAAACTCATAGGGGAAACAATTTAGGATGTTGGAGTAGGCAAATACTTTTTGAACAAAATTCCAAAGCATAGGAAACAAAAGCAAAAACTAGACAAAATGAACTGTATGAAGCTAGAGTGTTTTTTTCATTAAATCAAGTGAACTAATCAACACAGTAGTTAGACCACCAATAAAATGGAAGTATTTGCAATTAGTACATCTGTTAAGGGCTTGATAACCAAAATATAAAAAGAACTACAAAAAATTTGATAATAACCTGATTAAAAATGGGTAATAGACTTCAATAAACATTTCTCAAAAGAAGACATACAAGAATGAATATAGAATTTTTAAACCTCAGTTGAAATCACCATACAAAGGGAATAAAAGAGAAAAACACAAGGGATAAACCAATTGGGGTTATAATACCTATATACTTGGAAATGTCACAATGAAATTCCCTGTATAGGTATCTAAAACAAACAAACAAAAAGTCCTTTTATAAAAATGTCTGTGGATTGGTACCAGTTGGAAAGGGGAAGATATAAAGAAAGTGTGTTGGAAGATGACTGTGGCGGAAATATTATGTACAAGTGTATGAAAATGGAAAAACGAGACCTGTCAAAGGGAAGAAAGGATAAAGGAGAATGATGGAGGGGGTGAATTCAACTATAATGTATTCTAAGATACTTTCTTAAATGTCACAATGTACTCTTAGTAAAACAGTAACATGGTAATAAAAAACAAATGGAACAAAAAAGGAAGACAACAAAAAAGAATTCTGCACATCATTAATTTCATCAGGGATATACAAATCAGAACCATAGGAAAATATTACCTCACTCCAGTGAGAATGGTTGTTTATATATAACTGAGAACTAATGAGTGAACAAACTGGTGCATCTATACTATATAATGAAATATTATTCACCCTTGAGAAAATGATATCCTGTCATTTATGACAATATGAATGCAGTCAGAAACAATCACCTGAAGTGAAATAAAGCAGTCATGGAAAGACAAACACTGTACAATCTCACTCATATGCAGTATCTATAAAAGCCAGACTCATAAAAGTCAAGAATAAAGTAGGAGATCCCAGCAGTGTGGATGAGTAAGTGGAAAGGTTAATCAATAGGTAGTGAGTTAAAGTTAGAAAAAAGCAAGAAATCTGGTCTGCCATTGTACATTACAGTTGCTAGAGATAACAGTAAAGTATTGCACATTTCAAAAAGTTCTTAGGAGAAAGGATTTTGAATTTTGTCTCAGCAAATAAATAATAAATGTTGAGGAAAGAGAAATGTTTAAAGTGATTTAAACGTAATTCAATATATACATGTATCAAAAGTTAGCCTGTTAGAGTAGATGACTTTGTGTGTTTTTATGTGTCAGTGAAAACATAAGTTTAAAAACAAAACAGGGGCATGAATACTATATTCCCATTCATAGTCTCTCCCTTTTGCTCCTCTTTATCTTTTCTTCTTCCCTTTTCTTTCACTTTGATTAACCTCCACAGTCCAGTGGAATATGTAAGTGACATTATCTCCTGAGTTCACATTCTTTATCCTCCATTTCAAAATGCAAATGGTAGTCTTTTGTAATTTGAATTCTAAGAATCCTAGACAATGAGGTCTGATTTTTCTGGCTTAGGACTGATATCCAATGCTGGAGAAAACATCAATGAATTCAATAAAGGGGCATAAATTCTAAATTCTAAATATAATGCTTTAACTTGGCTTCCTTTTACATTTCCATGAGATCTTGGAATATTTACTCATGCTGGTTGATCTCAATTGCTCCCATTAAAAAGAAAAATAATCAGTACATGATTCAGAGGTATTGTTATTGATTTTGTCATGAACTTCTATCAATACAAAGTAATTGAGGAGAGCTGAGATATGAAGAACTTAAGTAATTTGACCATGGTTATATAACTAACCATGTACCCAAGATACGCAGTTGTAGCTCTTTATTTTTCTTAAGATAATGCATGTTAAATAATTAATTCAGTGCTACTGCACATATCAACATGTTATCGTAGTCATATCACCACCATTTCGACTATCAACATCATGATTTATGGCTTCTCCAGTTGTAGCTTTAGGTATAAAGGCACCATGTTGTAGAAAAGAGAAAAGTGATTGCTTGGTAAAACTATAGATGCTTCATATTGTGCTAAGCTACTGGCTCTATCCAGCAAATCTATATAAACTAATTCCCATACCTACTACTATATAAACATTCTTATTTCCTAAAATACATATTATACAGTTGCATTCCAAAATGAGAAAAATCTTAAGTTACCCTTTTCTAAATCCAAAATTTCAGCTGTTAGTAAATTGTCAATTATGGGTTTTTTTAATGGCTATTCATAATCCAGTAAGTTATGGGATAATTGACAAACTTAACCTCACTCATTGTGAAACTGTGAAATAAATATCAGAAATCAATAACATTGACTAGTAGTTAGAAAAGTTGTAACGGAAAGTAATCTGTAGTAGCTACTGGACTAGAGCATGTCCTGCCTTTGTTGATCAGGGATGGCGCAGGGGAAAATGAAGAATCAGAGATTCTCAAAGAGAAATTCTTACCTTACTTTGATAAAAGAACCAATCTCTTACCCAATAGTTATCTTGGTTAAAAGATAACAGTTAAAAACTGTTTTTGCCATTGACCTTGCTGATTACTCTTGCAGGAATATTGGAAAGCACTCTTCTCTTCCTGTGTAAATTCTAACATAGATGCCCATTTGCATGGAATGTAGATATTTGAACAGAACAATCAAGCTGTATTGAATGAATCCATTGATTTAGGCAGGGGCCAGAATCCTGTAGACATTTCTGTGTTAGAGTAAGAAATTCACATTCGCTTTCACTGCAATCTAAGACACTGGAGGATTTTAACATGATATATTTAGAAAAGATCAATCTGGCTGCTGCCTAGAAAATAGGTTAAAGAGTAGGAAAGGGATTTGATTAAGGGTGAGATTAATTGGAATGCTTTGCTAGTCTAGTAAGCGATGAGGATGGCACATAGAGAAGTCACTTGAAATGAACCATGATTCTGTCCTAAGAATTCCTTTGATCCTTTAATAGTAAGTCACACACTACAATTTTTGTATGTTTTTACATTTAATGGTACGTGCTCACAACTTTACTGCAGCCACTTTCCCCATATGCACAGGGAGACCAAGAACCTGCAAGTTCACAAATATCTCTCATGCAGCCCCTTATCCAGGACCTATTAGCTGTAGAAGTATGAAAATCCACAAAATCAGAAACCTGAAAACTTGACTCCCTTGTTTGGCTTATTTTCCTTGCCTTTCTTGCTTTCTATCATTCGTTTCAGACTGAGATTATCTGTCCTATACTTGTCTGTTCATTATATTTTGGAGGTGCATAACTTGTTTTATTTTACAGACTATTACAAGATATTTTGGACTTCAGACTGTAGAGCTGAAATTGAAATAAGACGTTTGAGACTTTGGGGACAAAATGAGTTCATTATGCATATGAATAAAACATGAATGTGTAGGGGTGGGGTGAATATTTGTGTCCCATGAAAGTTTGTACATTGAAATCATACCCTTGCATCTGGTAATGTGGCTAGTTCCAGGAAGTGATTAAATTATATTAGGCCATAAGATTGAAGCCACTCATGATGAGATCAGTATCTTATATGGACATAAAAAGGCCTAAGCTCTCTTTTGACTTTTTGTGATGTGGAAACACAATGAGAAAACTGCAGTCTTCAAACAAGGAAGAGAGCTTACACCAGGCAACCAAATCTGATGACACCTTTATTTATGACTGCTTAGCCTCCAGAACTGTCAGAGGTAAATATTTGTTGTTTATGCCAGTGTTATTTTGGTAGAGTACCCAGATCTGAGTATGACAATATGATATTACTCCATCTCTCTATCTGCATCTACTTGAAGGACCACTATAAGTGCTTTAAAAATTTGCCCAACTCTTTGTTTTTGCCTTTATCACACTCTGACTTGAATGTGCCCTAATGGTCTCATCCCCTGATCATTTTGTACAGTTTCTGTGTCACAGGCTTCTTTCTGAAAAGTCTCTAAACAACCATTTGAATAATAGCCTACCCTACCTCTCTATGGCTTTCTATCATACCATCCTTTTATTTCCTTCACATGATTTAGCACAGCTTTTATTATCTCTTTTGTTACTGGATTTTAGGTTTATTAATGATTTCCTTTAGCTGAAATGTAACTTGCATGATATGGGATATTTTGTATATACTATATTACTCACAAAATATAGTAGGCACTTACATATTTGTAAACTTAGTTAATGTCTACCATAGATAATCTCTATTTTAAGACTGAAATTCCAGTTGAGTTTGACCTAATCTGTTGAATAAATAAGGTGA